CCTCCACTGTTGATGCCGTATAGAACAGCAGAGCATGAAGCCACTGGATAAACTCCAGCAAAGTTGATGTTTGGTCTGGAACTTCGGTTGGCTGTGGAACTGTTAACAGGATGCCCACTTTATGAAGAGTTGCCTGAAAATGTGTCAGAGTTTGTGAAAGTATTATCGGAAAGGATGGATGATATTCACCATCAAGTGCGTTCAAACTTGAAAACGTCTGCTGATTCGATGAAGTTATATTATGATAAGAGATCTACTGAAGTCATCTTTGTACCAGGAGACAAGGTGTGGTTGTATAATCCCAGGAAGACCAAAGGGAAGTCTCCTAAGTTGTCTTCTCCATGGGAAGGCCCATATGACATAGTGAATTGTCTCTCAGACGTGACTTTCCGGATAAAATATGGTCGGCGAGGTAAGCCAAAGGTGGTACATGCCAATAGGCTTTGGCGTCATCACGGTCCAGGACATTTCAGTTGGGATGAAGTGAACAACGAAACAAATGACGCTGCTGAAGACGTGTCACCTGAAAAAGCCACTGTCGAAGAAGGAACTCTACTCGGTTTTGAGAACAGCGAAGCCATTGATGAAGTTACTACCACTGATGTGACTGTTACCAATGATAGGACATTTCCTGATGAAGCAGATGAACCCCACATGAAGCAGAAGCCAACAAGATGGAGACCAGTACAGAAGAAGATGTGTCCCGTAAAATAAAGAGACTTTGTTGAATTGTAATTTTGTGTTTGTAAATTCTGTATATTTAATTAAGTTATTGTTCATTGTTTATCGGTTTAATGTAAGTGGCTATTGTTTGGGACAAACAATACTAAGGAAGGGGCAGTGTTACGATAGCGGAAGTCACGTGACCCTAGTAACACGTCATGAACTTCTAGAAGGATCCTGTCTTTTCCTGAAGTCTTGGGAGGTTACTAGATATGCGGTATTCTTGTATATATAAGACCGGTAAGAACTGACGGCAACAATGTAATGTGTAATTGAACTGTGGACAGAGAGAGACGTATTGTTGAGTCGAGCAAGTGAGACCTTTGTGTGTGAATTATAGCGTTTGTTATAGCGTGACTGTGGAAATTAAGTGTATTGCAAAGTTGTATTTATAAAGAATAAACCAGTTTTATTTAAGAAAGGACTTGTATCGCTAAAGTTTCTTCGGAAAGAATTTATACGGAAAATTAACTAACGAACGGAGGCGTAACAATATAAATAACTTTTCAGTTGAGTCAACATTTCGTCAGTGATTTACTCAGGGCTAGTAGTAGAACTGTTTGATGTAAAAAGTTACGTATATTTCATGAAATATTAAAGACACTGGAGTAAAAGTTTGAATGTTTAATTAACGTTTATAAAAGCTTTTCTTCGCTCTTTAGAATATTTTATTTAGATAAACACATGTTGATGAGCTCCAGACCAGACATCCCGCACTGGACTTAATATACATTCATTGAATGACTAAAAAAGTAACATGGTGTCAGGAAACGTTTCGTATATGCAGTTAGCACTATTAATATTACGGTTTTGTTTGTGAACACCATATCAATGATAATTTTTCTTAATAATTAGTTCTAGTAATATTAATAACTAGTTGGAGAAAGTTTGGACTGTATTTTCTCTTGTCTAATTCAATAATTGGATCGTTAAGCCTGGTGGTTAAGGTCAGGGATTTCCATTTGAACAGGCACCAGTGTATAAAAAGAAAATACGTGTAGGAACAAGGAAAAAGTTTTAAGATAATATTCATGCAATTTAGTTAGCACTCAGTGTCCCAAGGTAACGAGTAACCGGAATATGGAGGGAAAAAAGAGCTCGACAGAGAATTTAACTGCTAATGACAGTGAAAATAAACCTTTAGGGAATAATACGAGCATTAGGCTTACTACTACGCACTTAGCTTCTGATTCTATTACAAGTATTAGTACCAATAATGATGTTACAGCAGAAACTGAAGGTACAAACAATATTAGGACAGTTGATGAAGAATTAGATGCACTGTTGGACAGTAAGTTTGATTTATTCTTTTGACTGGGAGAAATGTTGGGCTTAACATTTACCTTAAAGGCTTAGTTACAAACTTGCCCTGTTTTGTTTGTGTGCTAAATTAGTAACGTTTAGTAATACCTATGGCAAATATAAACTTTATATTTCTATGCAATTAGAGTTAGAGTCATGTATCATTGTCACCATGATGATCATTGTACAGTAGTAAATGTCATTTTGATTTTTTTGTGTGAAGGATATTTCATTTGCAGGGTAGAAACTAAAATTTGAAAAGGTAAAGTGAAGAAGAGCTTAGGTTAAAATTAAACTTAAAACTTTGCTGTAAATTTAGAAATATCCCTGTGCAGCATATGATAAGGTGACTATATTTTATAATCCAAAACTGTGGGCACTTGTACCCATAGTCACCATAGCTATTGAGTCTGTTGCAGTGTTGTCTCTAATGATGCTGTACCTGACTACTACTACTACTAATAATAATAAAAACTGGCTGAATGATTCTTTCTAAATTTCATTTCAGCTACAGAATTCATATAACTGTAAGGAATGAAATGTAAAGGTGTTTTTGGGCAGTTTTTTCAAAACAGGGATACTTTTAGGGAATTTTTTCTCCCAGGCACAACATTCTTCAATCAGAGTCTGACCCCAGAAATTGGGTACGTATGGTGATCTTAGTATATTACTGCATAACTTGTACGTGCTATAGACTTATTGGAAATTTTCAGAGGAAGGGTATAAGGAGTAGATTAATTCCAAAAATGGAAGGGTTATTTATGAGAATAGACTATGCTGTGGTCACTAATTAGGTGACGTGATTAAACAATTAAGAACTTGTATAATTAATGACACCACATTATCCAGTATTGACATCTATATACTGGACACTAAACTGTAAACACCCAAAATGCTTACAACTGTAAGTGATCATATCAAAAATATACCATAATGCCTCAAATTAACAATATCTTTCTCAGCCTTGTGCCCATGACTTTTTAAGATTTCTTTGATTTGTTTTATTTTGAGAAGAAAAAAAAACGATGAAAGTTGATATTGTATTAAAGTTTAGAAGGTTATTCAGGATATTGTTTGGATGAAGGCCTTTAATTTCATTGTGCTATATTTTGAAAATGAGATGACGCAAGTTTAAAATTTGGAAAAGACAAGCTAGGTCGTAGTTGGTAGTTTTATTTTTTCAAACAAGTTACCATTAGAAGTAGTGGAGGCTTGCTTCATATAAGAGTTTAAGAGGGGAATAAATTATATCCTGAATTTGTTTGATTCATTTTTTTTTGTAGGTTGGAGTGCAGGGACAGCCTTGAAGGACCAAATGATCTCTTGTTGTCCCATTGTTATATTTACCTTGTCATCATTTAGAAAATTATCTAAGTAGCCTCTCAATGATATAAAGGAATAACTTAAATTTATTGCCAATATTTTTTGATTTTCCTCTTTCCAGGTTAGGATTGTGAGGCTGTAGTGTATTCAGGTAAAATCGTGTTAACCTTTGAGCTGTTGGATATGTCTGCATAATGGCTTTAGATTCTATCAAGTAATATTAAATCTCTTACTAACTAAGTTGCGATACTAAATGGTATAATTAGAACTGTACATGAAGTGAAATGCAAAAACAAAAATCTGTATTACAATACTTAATACAAATGCAGTATGTGTAGTTGTTTTACTTTACATGGAACTGTTGCTTTTACTGGAATCCCTCAACTGCTTCTCCTTCAGAATTTTGTTCCAGATTGTTTAAATCCAACATTTGTTAGTTTAGAAGAAGCATTGCATTTATCCAGAGTCTACCCATGTGACTATCATTCTCATTACTACAACGTAGGTGAGGCCAAAACCTTTAGATATCACCTGAACTACCACTGAAGAACCTGCTGTTGACATCCTTGCACAAGTTACAGTATTACAACAATATCTACCCCAACCTCTCTGGGCAAAACAAGTATTATTAAAAATGAAATAAAAAGTCTGAAGAAAATCAACTTAATGGCTTTCTCGATAACATGTGATGTGAAACTTGCATATATACACAGAATAAAGAATCACTTCAGAATAAAAACTATAGTAGTAGAAGAAGATGGAAGTGCATGGTATATTTCTATTCCTCAGTGTTACATATTTTTGTATATAACCCAAACACTTTGTTATTCCATGAAGCTCTTGTTTTTAGGAGATATACTAAAAGTTTTGGTAAGGTGTTACATATATATCATAAGCTAAGAAAATCACATTAGATTTTAGGATAGTTAGATAAAAAAAGAGTAAGAGGAAATTAATAGAGACCACTCAAAGTGGACCCTTGCTACTAGTGGAATCCCCCTGGGGTCAGTGCTTGGGCATTTGCTTTTTCGTATTTACATTAATTACAGTGATGGACAGAATTTAATAGTAAAGTTTGCTGATGGCATTAAACTCTTGACTATTTCTAACTGTATTAAATATATTGAAGTATTTAATAATGAATCAAAATGATTAGAAAGGCAAATATTTGACAAATTACCTGTAATTATATTTTATGCAATGTAATGTATTAGAATTATCATAATGTTTGTTTTAATATTCTAATTTGTTAGGGTGTAGAATGCCTAAAAATGTTCTAAGTATGTGATGCCAAGTTTTTCTAGTATGTTTATTGCTAGATTACTAATATAATATAGTTGTGAAGTGTAGAGAGAGAGAGAGATTTCAAAATAGAAAGTGACAGTATACAAGTGTTAAAGTTTATAGAATCTTTAAAAGAGGAATTATGTAATTTATTTTGTTATATGGACTGGATGTTAAATTATTTCCACCAGATAATTGAAAAGAACTTGTCAATGAAAGAAATATGCTACTACACTGGTGTAAGAAGAGGAATATTATTTCATTGAAAAATAAAGTAGAATTTTGATAAAACTTTAACTGCTGAAGATGACAACCACAAAGTCAAAGAGTGGGAGCAAAGGGTTACTCAGATGATGTATTTTTGAGACAAAATCAGGAATAAATGAACAAAATTAAAACTAGACCAAGAGAGGTAGAAATATATAACTAGGAAGAATGAGACAGAAATGTAGAAGAAAGAGATGTGACAGGAATTCAAGAGAGGAGTTACATGAAATAATATTTAAAGAATGATTAAAGTAAAAAATAGATTTGATTGATAAAGCTATTGGAGAGGTACAGTGAGATTACAGCAGCAAATTTTAAGAAATGCAAAAGGGCATGAACAAAGTAA